CGCTTCACTTGGCATCGTACTTGTGATTGAGCCTGTGAGTCCTGTAGGCTCGGGTTTTGTTATTCCTGTGGGTATTTCGCTTGGTATATTTGTTGTTATCAAGCTTGGAATAYTATTTGGTTTAGAGCTCAGAGTTGCTGTTGGTGTCACTGTAGGCATTTTACCCTTTACATCTGAAGGACTGAAGGAAGGCGTTACAGATGGAATAACACTTGTCGAATGCAGATTTTTGCCCGTTGAGATTGAGTCCTGACTTGGCTGATTGCTTTCACTGGTTGTTGTTGGGAACGTCGGAAATCTGACTTCGTTCTTYGAAGGCGGTAACGTTTGTTTTGCAGAAGGATCTGATGTTGGCACGCTGAATGGTGGAAGAGTGGTACTTAAAGWTGATGGTAGAAACGAATTGATTGCAAATCGTGTTGGAAGAATCGATTGAGTAAAGGTGGATGTCGAACTAGGAAAAATTGTTGGTGCTCCTGATGAATTGGTAGTTGGTGATGTTGAAGGATAGTTTGTTGGGAGGACAAAACACGCACTGCATTGCTTTGCACACAGATCGGAGACAAGAATGCCTTTAGATGTTCTTTTCGTGCAATGTTTGCGTCGTATATTGTTGCAAGCTCTGCGTTTGCCGTTGAACTTGACGGTTCGTTTGTTTTTACACGTACATCGAAAATTACACGACRAAGGGCAGCTTTGTTTTATTCRCCTTCTTGTCTTTCGGTCAGTTTTCCCACACCTGTCGTTTGGGCGCTTTGAAGCCCAATTGCAATCTTTTTTTGCGTTTCCGTTGAATTTGAAGCTAAGGTCATCTTGGTTGCAAGACATATATGGTTCGGACGTAGGTTGTAAGGTTGGGGCATCTCGTCGGAAAGGCACACATTTCTTTTTGCATACTAGTGGGCAGAAAAACAAGACTTTGCGCCTTCTATGATGATCGATTAGGTTGCATCTTGTCCTGAACTTTTGGGCTGCCCATGCACAATCTCTATTGCTTTTACCATTCAGACGAAWCGAATCGTCGTTGATACAATCAATGCTTCCATTATTCAAAAGGCGGTAGTTGGATGCAGCGTAAACAAAATTTGCATGGAAGAAAAAGGTGATGAGTCCCTTCATTGTTAGTGGATGTTGCTTATACTTTCGAATAGTCAATACTTGCTTCGAAGAGTCTTGTGTGTCAACACGAAATCTTTTTGTGATCCATAATACCTTGACAAGACTTACAAAGGGCGCCATACGCTTGTATACTTAGAGTGTAGTGTTCCGTGTTATCTTTTATCTTCGTTCGGTGCTCTTCSATGATGATGCGAGAAGAGGTGAAAAATAAAGGAAATATTTTCAGTTTCGTTCGGTGCACTTTAACTTCGATAGAAATTTTTGAACGTGACCGTCAAAAGATTCCTGCAGTAATAGGGAAGACCAGCGTTACCCTTGAAGTTGCGAAGCGTTTGGGGGATAGCCGCAAAAGGCGCATTTTAGCGTTTGTCGCAGCCGCCTGTTAGCCAGAAGGTGCGCATCATTACTGTTCATCTGTTTTTACTTCAACACACGAAGATTTCTGATGAAAAAAGTTGTTGTGGTATTGCTGTGCCACTTTCCTAATCGCAAAATCCAAACAACAGTCCRAAAGCAATGGATCATGTTACAGCACTAAAAGTTCTCATTATAAAAGTTCTCATTACGTTCGAGTTGCGGAATGAATATTTGCGAGGCGTGCCGTATCAAAACGAKAAGGGATGTTGAAGAACTCTTACTGTAACACTATGTTGATGATGAAACTCCAACATTTGAAGCGAAGTTGACACTAACATCGAAACTAATACATACAGATTGTGATCCATACGTACGGTACTCGTACTCGTAACCTTCTCTGGCAGTAGTACTGTACTGTACGTGCAGGGGTCATAAATTGGGTGCGCGACTCTCAAAAATCGTATCTTATTCATCACCATATCCCTCCCCCCATACCGGTAATACTGGAACTTTTGGAGTTCCTACGGTACRTGTGATGCAGTACCATTAACACGAGTAGCTAGTGAATAAACTCACTCTTTACTGTAAACACATGATTATACAACGATAGAGAGCATTACTACTACTATTAGTAGCAGTAGTAGTAGTACATCCAATGTAGTAACTGAATCATATACCTCTGGACTTGACAGAATGTGATGCATAGTCATTCACAAAGTTCAAAGCAATCAAACAAGCAAACTTAGTAGCTCTATTAGTACTACTAGTAGTACTACTCGTAAACCTCTTCCTAACAAGAATGAGTTTGTTGGTGTTTCTGATGAAGTGTCAATTGGTGAACAGATACTAGTATGCGCCAAACGAATCTTCTATCCTCGATTATGTGAGAAACGCATGTCGAGAAAAACATCGTCGGTAGGTGTGGGTGTTTTAGCTATAGTACCGTRCCATGGCCCTTCCCGGACGCGAATGCTGATGGTGTGGTGGTGGTGTTGCCGACCGCGCTTGTCACTGGTCGGGAAGAAGGAACCGCCGCTTCAAAAAGGTCTCGAGGTACCCATCAAATACCCCCAATCGCTTGGACGCGTCTATGTACCACCGAAACGATGCATTTGCAACCAGGGAATCGGCACCGTTGTTGCCGCTGCCGCTGCCGCGATAGGCGTCGACGAAGTCCTTCGAAGCGCAACGAGCCGGACCGCCCGCATCGTTGCCGGCACCGGCATTTTGCGCCGCGCCCAGTGGTACGGAGAGCAAGGCCGGGCCCATGTGCTCGCTTCCCAGCACGGTGGCAAAGGACCTGGCGTCCGGTGCGATTCCTGGACCGGGTCGAAACGGAAACAGCGGAGGTGGCGGAGACCAAGGCAGAGGCGAAGGATCCCTTTCCCCGGAGCCGCAAGGCTTCTTCTCTGCCGTACCGCCGGGTTGCCCGCCGCTGCCGTCGCCGTTGCCGCTGCGGCTGGCATCCGCGTCGGCGGCAGCAACCATGCGCTCCAGCAACCATAGGGCGTGTCCACACGAATCCGATCGAGAGGCCAAACCCTTCAGGACCTTGTTGTACTGCAGGATCCGTGCCTTGYGATTGCGCACAACCGCGGCTGCATCGGCGCGGCCGGCGACGAATGGATCGGATTCCATCGACGCCAGGACGGGAAGCAATCGGTCTCGAGCGTAGTAGCGATCGGTGTGGTCGGTGTCGCCACCTTGTCCGGGTGCGTRTGGATCTTGAAGGCTCGATTCCAGCAGCGCGTGAAGGACGGTAGCGTAGGGGTCCACCGTTCGTCGCACGGTGGCCGGTGGCCGGTCTGCTCCATTCTCTCTGTGTTCGGGAACCCTTTCTTCCCCCGGTGAGACAATTTCGCTGCTACAGGAGTTGGCGTTCTTGTCGTGTTCGTTCATTATTTGAATCGTTGCCATCATTCCGTCGAAGACCTCCTTCATTGCGGGAGGATCCGATCGAGCATGTTGGAAGTGGTGTTGATCAGACTCCCGGGTTAGGTTGGTTTCGTCTCCTTGTTTCTGCCGATCTTGACGCGTGTTTTTTCGTCTCTTTTTCTGTTGGCCTTTCGAATCCCGATAGGCCTCCATGTAGGCATCCAGAACAGCAATATACGATTCTTCCGGCAGAAGAAATTTGGAGTGGCTGCCGCAAGCGCTTTCGTCCTCGTTTTTGTTGKTGGTGATGATTTCGTTGCTGTGTGGTCTGTCGCGCAGAACGTCACGGAGAAGGCCGGCGATTTCGAGGGGAGGGGTTCGAAGCAGGAACTCGTCGCTGGGAGGTTTTTGCGATAGACGCTCGTAGCAAAAGCGCAGCCKGCCCGTGCTGCTGCCGTTCTTCGAGACCGGCTTGCGGCTCGCGGGACTTGCCGGTAGTGGTTGCAACGTGTCGGACTCGTCTTCGGTGGCAGCAGGAGCACCGGCACTAGCAGCAACAACAACAACGGCATCGTGGATTGCAACACGTTGCTTCGAACGGATGCGGCTGCTGCTGGTGGTGGTCCCGCTGCTACCGACAAAGGCAGAGGCACTGCCCAACGAAGACCAGAAAATGCATTCGAACGCTAGGAACACCGAGAACAGCAACAGAACCGGTTTTGGATGCGGCATGCTGTGCTATGCCGTGTTGTGTTGTGTTGAGTTGTGAAGCAAGTGCTAGTATCTGCTGTAGTCGGGGTTTTCGGGTTCCTCCGCAGCGTTCGCCGTCTGTGAGGTATTCATTCTTTGCTCGTTGGTTCCGTGATATCAGCAACGGATATTTTCTTGCGTCGCTTGATTGGAATGATGAGATCAACAACGATGGTGTGCTGGAATGAAGCGTTGTGGGTTTTGGAAACAAACAACGAGGCAGGGAGTGACATGAAGTACACGCGTTTTGCACGGACAACCTTCGCTTTCCTTTTTTGTATTCTTACGGAGAAAGTACTTCTACTACTACTACTACGACTACTACTAGTAATACTACTACTACTACTACTACTACCAGCAGCTACGCACCAAGCTTGATCATGATATTGCAGGAAGGACTTTGCATGTAGTAGCTGAAAATTTGGATTGGTACTACTAGTACAATGAGAAACAAATGGACACCACATCCTCCTCGTCCTTATTGAATAATTACTAGTAGTAGTAGTGAACAGCAACAGCATACTACTAGTAGTAGTACGTCACATAGTAGTAGTAGTAGTAGTAGTAGTAGTAGTAGTAGTGGTACTAGTAGTAGTAGTGGTACTAGTAGTAGTAGTGGTACTAGTAGTAGATTCAAATTTGGCTGTTGGCTGAGAAGAAAGCAGCTCAGCATAGTAGGTCTGCCAACTGCCCTGCTGGTGCTTTGGTCACAACAAAGCATATGAACATCAACATTGGTGGCATGTACAGCAAGAAGATGCTTGGTTCTTGTTCTTGACAAAGTTTTGCCAGCAATCYACCACAAAAAGTGGCCACAAGGAGGAGCAATTGCTGGCAACAACAACCAAGGTTGCTTGTCCTGGTGAGATCATCATTCAAGAGGACAACAAAAAGCCCACCAAGCCTTCTTCTATCAGAACTGATGCTGCTGAAGCTGCAGCAAGTACAAGCTGGAATATTTGTGTTAAAACTCAACCACCAACAACAAGTAGTAGTAGTCTTGATTTGAATGTTCTGGATCTTGGTTTTTCAATTCAATTCAAAGTTTGCAGTACAAGAAGAAATGGTCAAAAGATATTGGTCATTGGATTGCCACCATTGGAGAGGCATTTKATGATGCTAAACACAAAACACCCAACAACAAAGTCTTTCTATCACTCCAGCCTTGTATGAAAGTCTTGCTTGGGTGTTGCAGGTGACGACAATTACAAGCTTCCTCGTGAGGGGAAAGCAAGTCTAGTACATCAAGGTGCTATCCCCATTTCAATCATCATCTGCAATCCAACTAATAGTCACATCATGGCTGCTGGACACCAACTGCTTGCTATTAGTAGTACTGCTTCAGAGGCTCAGCAGGCCACAGAAGCTACAAACAAGAACTACAAACAGTTGTAGAGGTAGTAACAAGTAGACAAAATAATAGTAGTTATATTTGTCAAAAATGTATCTGGTATTGAATGCACACAATCATATACTACTAGGCCTAATAACAAGGACAATCTTCCAGGACCAGTAAAATAGGATCACAACGACTCACTCACTAGTATTGGACAGGAGGAAGTACTAGTAGTATTTATATGAACAGCATACTTTTTATGATCATGCAATGGCATTATGCAATGGTCAAGAATGGAGAAAGGTGCTGTGGACTGTTGCAAAGCAATATTCTTCAAATGACATTGTGTTGTGGACTCCTAACTAGCACCCACCAGTTGCAAATCTGTACTAGTTGTAACTTTACAAGTTGCAAGTACTACTATGTTTTCTCTTAAAGAAGGCATATATCAAAGCAATTAGTCAGTACTTTAGAAGCAGGAAGTACTATAATGCAAAAACTAAGTTAGTTCCAGACCACCCTGAATAGAACAAGCTAATCAATTCAAACACTGTGGCTGTTTGTTGTGTTTGATATTTGTTAGTTGTGTGGTATGTTGGATATTGTTATTGTTGGGGTTGTTTGTTATTGTAATGAGAAGAGGCATTCTTACACCAACACATTTTTGAAAGATTGTCCCGAAAGTAATTTGTTTACACTTCTTCTTGCATTGGCAGTATTAATTGAAAATTGAGTCACATTTATTCTCTTGTGACTTATTTGAGTTTGATTGGTAATTTTGGATTCATGCTCTTCTGGACATCAAAATTCAGCTGTTGCTGAAGTGTTCTGAGAAGTCAACTCTTTGATGCTAGCAAACAACAATGCTATGTTGTCAACAATGAGCATGCAAGTCTGATTTTCCCATGCATCATCCAGTGTAACATCACCAGATCTGTCATGATTTAAACGGCAAGCTTTATATTTAAGAAGTAATATTGAGAGTGCTRACATCAAGTGGACAAGCAAAGTCCTCAAATTTGTAGAATGGAAGTCTTTCAGTATTGGTGCTATCTGCTGCCATGATAGGAGGAGTGTCCTTTGTTGACAAGAAGGAGTCTCTTCCCCACTGATTTAAGTTGAATGAATTACTTTTGATTTTCCAGTACCCTGGTAGAAAATATGAACTGCTCTTTCTTATTGTGCATGCTGGTTGCCTTCTTGAGATCCTGTATGTAGTCTTCTCCTTGTTTTGGCAATTGCCAAYATTCCCTTTGAGTCCCTCCTTTTCTTTAACCAATCAGATGAATACATAGGTTTTTAAGTGTGAAAACACAAGCAGCAACAATCTAGTTATTCATTTCCCTGATCCCTATTGTTATGAAAATTCAACTTTGCATGGTAGTGTCTGATATTATGTAAGCTTCCACCAGTGCATGATGTGAAGATTTTGTCAACTTCCATATTATTGTTCTCACCAGAATGGCAGTATCCATATCCTCCACTGCTCTCATCATGCCAGTTGACATTCCTGGCATGATGATTGGAATACTATCTTATTCTTGAGGAAGGCACTGGCAACTATTGGCATCCTAACTATTCCCACTGGATCCTTTGCCAGCTGTGTTGCAGGGTGGTTTGAAAGCTGCTGTGTTACTCCAGAGAAATACTCCAAGAGTCTCCATTTGGCAAAACACAACTATCAGACAAACATCACTTGACACCATCTTTTTATTCACCAAATCTCCTCTCAGTATTGGATCTCAGACCTAGATCTCAATTGAGGTCCCTGTTCCCTTTGGTTTTGCTCTGTTGGAGCAAAGCAAGAATAAAGCTTTCCATGACCACACTGTTCTCCAAAAGCAGTCCTTATACCAAGCATTGTTTACAAAGAGAGTCAAGCACTTTTTCTYCACCCAAAAATTGTCCAACTGAAGCTGTATTTACCCCTGGCCCTAAAACTTTACTATCCAATGTCCATCAACAATACTTCCTTCTCATACTACTACCAGATTTTATGAAAAGAATCTGCAGGAGCATTCAAGATGCTGCTGCTATTTCCACTACTGCCAATATCAATCTGATTGCTCAGTAATTCTTCTTACATACTATGTTGCTGACTACTACTACTAGTAGTAATTGCAAACTACCACTGGAGATCATCACTCAAGTTATGAGTAAATTTTTCCTGCATACCATAGTGCGTCTGCCCTACCCACTCTTCCTCCTCCAGAAGTCCTATCCCTCACAGCAACTAGCAAAAGCAACCTTTTCCCAACAAGAGGGGGTGATGGTTCTAGCTTGTTCCCTGCCTAATGCCTCTGCCAGTTCACAACAACACAAAAATAGTTTTAGTTATTTTTTTAAACTAGTAACATAAATATTACTATGTAGGCAATGATGATATTTTTGGTTTTTTTTCCTGTTGTATGGCTTGTGACAGAATTTATCAAGTCTTGGGAATGGGATTGTCCCCTTTTCTTCTATTGGTTGCTAAATGTTGTTTTAGAGGCTGTCAATGTTGTCGTTGACATTGCTATGCTCCATGACGCTCTTCCCCAACATCTTGGAGAGGGCCTGACAGTATTTTTTGTACTAGGACTCAAACTTGTCCAGCAAGGCATTAGTTGGTGCATTATGCCTGTCATACCCACCATAAATATAGCCAGAGCTGTCCAYACTTATTGTTGTTGGATTGTTTTCAATGTCCAAATGACAGATCACAATAATGACTATTTTTTTCTTGGGAGGATTTACTAAGTTCTCTTACATTTTGTAATGACAGGTCACAAATATGACTGATTGATTTGAGTCATGGGAGCAATTTGGTTCTCTTACATCTTGGAATGACTAATYACAAATATGACTCTCTCTTAGTCTTAGGAGCAAGTTTGTTCTCTTAAATATTAAAATTATTGATATTCACAACAACGACTGCATGTTTTAGTTACYAATTAATGCTTCTAATCTGTTTTTTGTCAAGGTATTAGTAATTCATTTGCAATTTTGGGGTAATGGGGCCTACTTGTTGCTTCACTGGCTCTTCCTGTGCACAAGTTAGAGTTGGTAGTCAAGTACACTCCTGTAGCCAATAACTTCACTTCATACTTTCAACCTTTCAACAAGATGAGTGTTAAGAGCAACAGACAGACACATGACCACTTGTATWCTCCTCTGGCAAACATTGAGCTCAGTGTAATTTAAGAAAGTATTGCAGTGGTGAGGCTAGTGGCAGGACAAGTGAAGATAAAGTTACAGCCCAAGCACTCTACTACTAGCAACCACCATTTTAGACAAGCATTAATGGTTGCTCACAATCCTCATTGTTTTAAGTCCAGAGCAGTGAGAATTCTTCAAGATGACTGGCTCCTGTGCACAAGAGAAACATACTCATAGTCAAGTGCACCATAGTCAATCCCTACTATTACTTAATTTTTATTTCTTGACCAGGTTGAATTCATTAAGTATCTTGTATCACCAATACAATCCAGGGAATATATTATGCATTGCTAGTATCCCTATTGCTATCCCTACTGCWGTTGCTAGTATTCCTATTGCTAGTATTCCTATTGCTAATATTCCTAATGCTAGTATTCCTATTGCTAGTATTCCCAGCAGTTTGCTGGTAGCAAGAATAAAAATTACTCCCAGCAACACACTGTGATTCACGCTATCATTGATATATTTTATATTTCTTCACCAAGGTGAATAGTTTTAACAAAAAATGTGAACCTGACGAACAATTGTTGGAGTGAAATTGTATGCAATGAACTCGGAAGGTGTCTAACACGTGCTGAAATAATGGCTCGACTACATTAGATACCTGTGTAGCCATGATGTGCAAATGCACATCTAGATATTCATGGTGGCATTTCTCACTCTCTTTCCTTCATCTTCGTATGAGGTGTATACGGCAAAAGCAAAGAAAAGTACCATAGGGATTTCCATGTATTGTACGTATCAAAGAGACCAGCGACGGTTATCACCTGCACGACAGCAGAATTTTGTTGGTTTGTGCAAAGAATAATTGGAGCGGTTGGTCCAGACGAGCAAAGTTTCAGTTGGAAATTCTACCATACCGGCATGAAGTTGAGACAGATTTGGAGCGTGTGCAAGGAAGCGTTTGCATTGACTCTCATCATCTATGAATTCGATTCGTGGATAATAATCAATCAACAACCGAGAGTATCATCGGATAGGAACAAAGAACWCTTCGTGACCAAGAAATTTATGGTTATCACTTTGTGCAACTAAGGGAACAAAGGGAGGAAGATATTTCTGAACTAGTCGAGCTGCAACTTCAGGAAGGATTCCACAATACGAGAATCATAGTTTACAACCTAATGCATGGCGACGTGGCAGCATCCTGGTGGCGCTATCAAAATTGCCAAACGAGGTCTACTAGTGAAAGCATTTAAAAGTTTTTTGACGTGATCGTTCATTGTGACTCTCTCCCCGGGATTTTATATGACGCTGATCTAATCCCGTGTATCTTGTGAAGAACGGGTCAACGGGGCCTTTTCTCTCTTCAAAAGAGCTGTTTTACATTGTCCAATCCGGTGTGTCCAGTCCGGCACTGGACGTGCCTCGGTGCCATTTGCGACCGCGAGAAATTCCCAGCCTGTTCTTTCGTATTTCTTTACGACAGAATAAAGGCATTCCCTCGGGCGCCGCTAAAAGAATTTTTTGCCTCCCAGCATCCGTTTCATGAGCGCGGCCTCCTTTTCGGCCTTGGTCTTCTTTGGCTTGGCCGCAACGGAGGGSTTTGGATTTGCCTTCTGGGTCTTGTTTCCGCCGTTGCCAGCGACCGCCACGGAGGTGGGCATGGCCGCCGTCGCCCCCCCCTGGTTCGAGAGCAGCTCGGGCCGGAGGTACCAACCCTTGGCCCGCGGACCCGCGGGCGACGGCTTCTTCCAACTCACGTAGACCCTGGCAGCGGGCAGGAGGCCTAGTTCCTTGAGGGTCTTGGCCGGATCGAGGACCGTCCGGGGCGGCGTCTGGTACAGGTCGAGGGCCTCGCAGCCCTCGACCGGGAGCAGGACGTTTTGTTTCAGGCCGTCGAGGACCGCCCCGACGGTCTCGCTCGTTCCAAAGTTGGCCCGGACCACGCAGGCGTCCGGAAAGGCGATCGCCAACTGTGTGTGCGAGTACACCTTGGTAGAAAGAAGTTTTTCGCGGTCCCTCATCGCTTTGGTGGTGAATCCCCGGTTCTGGGCCGCCTTGTTTTTCGCGTGTTGTCTCTGAAAGTGGGACGCCAGCAGCTGCGAGTCGCCGGACGCCGAGGCCGTCGCGGAGGAAGACACGRCATTGCCGCTGCTGGCAGTTTGTCCCGGCATGACCACCGTCCACTGCCGCTCGACCATCGGTTTCCTCTTGGCAGCGGTATTTGTCGTGTTGCTAGCGTTGCCCAGCGCAAATTCCCGCTCGAGCCGTTCTTCCCTCCGCTTGAGCTCGGCCAATTCTTCTTCCGTCTTGGATTTCCAGTTGGCCGGTGGCCCCAGGTTTGTTCCAACCGATGCCGATTGGCCGTCGAACCGGCGTCCCTGGTAGATATCGAACGAATTGTTGTTGGTAGGAGCGGCATTGGAAGCACCGGAACGAATCTTGGGGGGTGGTTGGTACCTGAACTTGGGCAGGGAATCGGCGGGAATCCGGAGCTCCAGCACGCCGATCCGCGCAAGCGTGTGTCGGGCCTTGACGAGGCGCTGCAGAACGGCATCTTCCCCGGGAGATCCGCCATCGCTGCTGCTGCTTTCACCCGGATAGTGCARRACCAGTCGCTCCTCGCCGCTGCCCTCCGGCATTCCGATCCCGGCCGGATCCTTCTCCAGCACAAAGCCGCACGCCAGCAAGACGTTGTGSCCGTGCCTTTCGATRATCTTGGAGCGAATCGCCGAGTTTTGCGTTCGGAGGCTCCTGACCTTTGGGTTGTGGGGGGTCTTCAGGATGTTGTCGAGTACCTTGAGGAGCGTAAGAAAGCACGTCTTGGAATCTGCATCGAAGTTCTCTTTTAGAACGGTTTGGATGGCCCTGTCCAAGCGTTGCTGGAACAATTGCATCGACGACGACTCCGGTTGATTGGATGCACCTYCATGGTGCTGCTGGGAAGACATTGTGGTGAAATAGCTGATTTGCTAAATTGTTTGTTTTGGAACTTCGTGTTTTGATTCGTTGTTTCTGGTGGTAGTTGTTGTTGTGCTGTCGTGTTGCTTTGTCTTGTGACAACTTATGCTATTGTTTGTTCGCTTGTTGTCTATTGTCGTCTATTATCTATTGGCTGTTTGACTTTGGAATCAATCGAAGGAGAAGAAGATGGTGTTGATCTTGTTGATGGTTACGATACGAACATCGCCGATAACGATGGTGATGACAACAATGATGGTGATGATGGATCGACAAATCAGCTTGCATTTATTTATTGCTTTCACGAATCTATGATGCGGTACAGTYGTACGGTACGTACCGTACGATTCCATACGGAAGGTACGTCTATTGCTGCCTTGCAACGCTACGGTACGTATGGTACGGGATCGTATGAAGTTTCCAAATTCCAATTTCCAATCGGTTCCGTCCGTTTCCCAACCCGTTCATTTCGTATGTAATCATATGTATGGACTATATGTATGTAGAATATGATAAGAAGCAAAAACGCAACAAGCCCCATTACCGCGCGGCAGCAACGTTTGGGAAAAGTGTGACCGTTGTTTGTTTTTATGAACATCGGCGATACTGTATCGTGAGAAACCGCCCACCGGGTGAATCGGCGAAAATCTGAAATCGTATCGTATTGTATCTTTGTTCGGAACACTTTTCTTTCTGACGGAGAGGCACCAGTAATAATTGAGCAATTGTAATGGTGAGAATCACCTCTTCGCATAGAAACACAGTTTTCATTTTTGCGCTGAACGAACGAACGAACCAAACGTAATCTCCCATCATAAACGGCGGGTCACAATCTCACGACCATTTCTACCCCAACGACAACAATTGCAACAGCAAACCATTCACGATGAAAATCAGAACCTTGTTTCAACTCTTTGCCCTCTTTATTCTGGCGGTCGCGGTACGTTCGAAACAGCACCGCGTGGTCTATTCTTTTTTCCGAGCGCCGGTCGATGAGTAAACCGATCCATCGGCCGGGGTGTTCCATCTTGAACCAAGAATGTTAACAGTCGCCTTCCACTTTCTCACCCTTCTTTCCTGCTTTGATCGTCGCAAACGAACAACGCATACTACGCACGTACGTTGAATTGCGCCGAACGGGTTTGATCTTCCATACAGTCGGCACAGTCGTCGGCAATCGATGATGAACACACGGTAGGTAACAGTGTCGAAAGTGTTTTCTTTCGATCGAACAAGCTTGGGGGAGCGAGTCCGGAATCGAATGGCATGGGGTTCGCTGGAATCGAGTAAAACCCATGACCATGCAAACCATGCCAACAACTATCGTCTCGATCTCTTTCACTCACGAAACTTTCTTTGCTCATTTCACGTCTTCTTCCTTCAAAGGAACGCCGCCTGCGTGGACCGCACAAGGCAGGCAGGGGCTTCAACAAGAGACCGTTCAAAGGGGGACGTGGAAAAAAGGGACCATACAAAGGACCATACAAGGGAGGACGTCCAGCAAAGAAAGGCTTCAACAAAGGACCATACCGTAAGGGAGGACCCGGAAGAAAGGGACCGTACAAGAGAGGACGCGGAGGACCATACAAGAAAGGCTGGGGAGGACGAGGAGGACGGGGAAGACAAGGAGGATACCGCAAACACACCAAGAGCTTCTAGGCTGCTTGTCGCAGCCGGGGCGAGAGTTTGCTGAGCGATCCGCGCCGCACCTCGGAGATCGAAGAGAATCGCGGTCGAGTGTCCAGCGATGCTTGGATCCATCGAGTGCCGGCGGGGTCGATCTCGAGGGGTTCTCCCMTGCAACGGCGTGTCCCGACCAAACAAGGGCCGACGGAACTTGAACACGCGATGATCTACTACGTTATTATCATCAACCAATTGAGTAGTACTAGCACCAAGCGATCCATCTATCTATCCCTTCGTTGTCGAAAAGAAGAAGAAATTGTAAAGTGTTCACTGTTTATAAAAGTTAACAAACGTAGATCGTAACAACACGAAGTGAAATATGGTGATTAATATCAGAAAACTAGTGAAGTATATCATACCACAGTACTAGTACTCGTCGTACTGTGAGTACGAAGAGTAGTAATTTGCTTAGGCCATGATGGGGGTATGATACTAGTAACGGAACCTTTGAAGTACTACTACTACTATGATGATCTTTTGTCATGAGATGCTAGAAATATAGCATTCAAATGAATCCTACTAGTACCACAACAAAGCATTAGTACTACTAGTACTATTAGAGTGCACCACACAAACAATAATACTACCTTCTTCTTGCCTCACATCCTGATAGTACTCATAACAGTACTATGATTTTCAGTAACGAGAAGGAGAAGCACAAATGATCCTAAAACAGTTATCAGCAGTACTGGTTTCTCTCCTCTTGGGACATTTCTTACAAGGAAGTCAGTGCAGGAGCAACAAGAACAAGGGATTTATTTTTTGGCAAATTTAATGATGCTTCTTCTTACTATTGTTGCATTGTCATCATACTCACATCAAATCCATCGTACTCCTCCTCATAGTACTACTACTAGTAGTAGTTTTACTCCTGGYGGTACTATTGTATAGAGTTGGCTAGCAAATCTACAATCCAGTTCTAGATTTTGGGCCCTTATTTTTGCAGGTAATGACTACTTTGACTAGTAAAATGTACAAAATGCAGGTGCTTGATATTAGTGTTGAACTTTAATCCCGATCAAATAGTTTCGCGGATGTGCTCAACTGACAATTTTGGCTTCAAACACATTCAAATCACTTTGTCAAAGTAGTCATTGCTACACGGTAAAAAGATAGCCCAAAATCCACGCACAGTAGAAAAACATGTAGAATGTTAACTAAGGGTCAACTCACCACTTGAACAGCTAGTATAACTTGGTCCCCAGTGGATGCTTAAGTACTATGATAGGCACATGAATCGAAAGCAAATTTAAACATGATTCTAGTCATATGGGGGAGTTGAGGGGTCCTAGTAGTGGAATATATTGATATATGTGTACCAATATAGGATTGAAAATGTATGACTAGATTGTGTTTTTTTGAGTAGCTGAGCCTATACAATAAACAGGTAATCTGCAAAATATAGTAACAGTGGAACTACAAAATGTAGGAATGCAAGATCTGTCAAATGTAGTATTGGTTCATGCATTTGTCCATTCCCTCATACTTTAAATATGTTTTTTTGATGGACCAGCTTGTTTTGTGTATCTCAAATACATATTTTATTGGAATCCTTGTCTCAACATTTTCAGTCTTGTGAGTGGGTGGTGGTGCACTCTAAAAGACAGATACTGTGAGCCAATAAGAACAAACTGCCCACAAAATTAATTTTATGGATGCAGCAAAACAAAGCACCATAGCATCCTCAGTTATTGTGATGATGATGATGATGATGATGATGATGATGATGAT